GAATGGGGCGGGGCTTGCCCAGCGACGTCATCACAACAACAACACGAGCCAGCATTGCGCAATCCACATGTAACCGATCCCACCCCACCCTCCCCCCTTAGCGATTCCCTTCCTTTAGCGATTCCATATCTCTAACGATTCCATATCTCTAACGATTCCATATCTCTAACGATTCCATATCTCTAACGATTCCATATCTCTAACGATTCCATATCTCTAACGATTCCATATCTCTAACGATTCCAAATCTTGAACGACTCCATTCCTTTAACGATTCGATTATTTATATGGATTAGACCGACTAATCGATTCACCAATCGATCATTCCTGTTATGTAAAAAAAACAACAGTGGTTTGTGAATGTGTCATCTTTTGTCATCAATCAGCAGCCGTGATCAATCCACTGCTGGATAAAGCCCCCCCCCCCCCCCCCCCCCAGCTGTCACCCTTAAGATAAATCGGGAAATGTCGGTGACTTTTACACACGTTTATTGAAAGTAATCGATTCATATATAATCGATTAGGTACATCTAATTAGTGGCATCCAAACTGGGCACGTAACGAGCGGCATCGTAACCGATTACTCGACGCAATCCATATTGATCGCGGCACGATTTATCGATGGATATTGAGGTCTTATCGATACGACACGCGATCCATCGAAGCCTCGTGGAGTGGTCGTATTCACAGTTATTTTAGATTATAACGATTATTTTAGACGATTCTTTTTTACATTGCGATTAATTAACGCAACGAGTTGAAACCCCCTAGCGATTATAAACGCAAGGACACTTAAAAAATAACTCGACGCGTTCGTCAATAACAGTGGGGCCTAAAAAGAAAAAACAAATAGACAACGTTTCAGGCGATGGCCCTTCTTCATAGCACATTTAGGAGCATTTCCCGAAACGTTGGCTATATTTTTTCCTTTCAAGGAACGCGCTGAGATGTTGTTGTGCAAGTGCTACCACCGCAGTAAGATCACCAACGGAGTTTAAACACTCGCAAATATCAATTATCATGGGTCAATTATCCTGAAATGATTCGATTATCACAATCATTATACAATTCTTCCTTTGCATTTTCCCGTATTTATATTTTGATAATTTGCATAACTCGTCGTGCTCTCACGCACGATTCGATGGACGTATCACGATTCTAATCGATTATTTATCGATGCATCGTTACATCACCCCCCCTCCCTCTCTCCACACACTTAGTCACATATTCACTTTAAGATGTTTTTTGTTCATGTTTTTAGTTTTTTGTTTGTTGCGGTTGCACCCGATTCAAGAGCCGAATGGCTCACAGAGCTATACCTAATAATTGAACTTGAACACAAAAAAATTGATTTCTGGATCTAAACGGTAGATTCTCGATAATCAAGAAATCGACAGGGAAAAGGAATCGTTCGAGATTACTCCCCACACCCCCCCAGCCCCTCCCCTCCCCCTTCACCAGCCCCTCCCCCTAGACCAGCCCCTCCCCTCCCCCTTCACCAGCCCCCTCTAAGCCCCTCCCCCTTCACCAGCCCCTCCCCCTAGACCAGCCCCTCCCCCTCCCCACTTACGAACACCGCAATCCCCCCAGCCCCCCCCCCCACCTCCTATCCTCCACACCAGCCCCGCCCCTCCCCGTGTTCCAGAACCCAGTGACGCATCGAAAATTCCATCGCGAGCTGCGTCACGTCCGCGCGCGCGCGATCATTGGACCCCCCATGGCCCCCACCCCATCCCCTCACCCCCCCTACCCCCTCCCCTCACCCCCCCTACCCCCCACCCCTGACGCCCCCCTACCCCCCACCCCTGACGCCCCCCTATCCACCAGGGGGGGGCGGCATCGGAAACGTAACAACAACAGTCGCCAAGTGACATGCGATTCGTACACACGAGGCCCGGAGCCAATGGCCAAACATCTTTTTACATCATTTTTTTTGTAATTATGTTGATGCCTGCCCGTTCTGTTATTTAGACCCCCCCCCGTGCCCGTAGACACACGAACACACGTCAACATTCATGCCCCCCCCCCACCACCCTCGCACCAAGCGCCCCCCGCTCGGAATTCAATAAACCGTGCCGGCTAAGACAGTCGAACTGAGATGTGCTTAAGTCGGCGGTCGAAATGGAAGGAAAAGTGGCTGCGGGTTGACGTGGTTTATTTTGTACTGCGTGTCAACGGGCTTCATTGATTAAACGCCCCTTCGTCATCAGTCACAATCACTATCAGCAGTCATGGCCAATCCACTGCTGGATGGAATCTTCCCCAATCCGCCCCCATCTCACCCCACACTCATTTCTCCCGAGCGATCATAACAAATGCCCCCCCCCCCCGCTCCACCCCCATTACACCCAAATCATTCATGACCCTGCGTTGAGTACAATCCCATTGGACGTGATTATTTTAAATGCGCGTGTTGCAGTGGCGGCGGTGATGTTCTCTGATCTCATCCCATCGCCATCAACAACCGCCCCCCGCCGCCCCGAATCACCCCCCACATCCTCCCATCATCCTCCTCCTCCTCCCAATCCTCCTCCCCCATCCTCCTCCTCATCACCCCATCCTCCTCCATCCTCCCACCATCCTCCATCCTCCCACCCCCATCCTCCTCCTACCCCCATCCTCCCACCCCCCATCCTCCTCCTCCTCCCCCCATCCTCCCACACTCATCCTCCTCCTCCCCATCCATCCTCCTCCTCCTCCCATCCTCCCACCCCCCATCCTCCTCCCCCATCCTCCTCCTCCCCCCATCCTCCCCCCCCCATCCTCCCACCCCCATCCTCCCTCCCCTCCCCCCCCATCCTCCCACCCCCATCCCCCCTCATCCTCCTCTCCCCCCCCCACTCCCCCCCCCCTCCTCCCCCCCATCCTCCCACCCCCATCCTCCCCTCCCCCCATCCTCCCACCCCCATCCTCCCACACCATCCTCCTCCTCCTCCCCCCATCCTCCCACACTCATCCTCCTCCTCCCCCCATCCTCCTCCCCCCATCCTCCTCCCCCCATCCTCCTCCCCCCATCCTCCTCCCCCCATCCTCCTCCTCCCCCCGCCCCTGTTTTGCTGACGTCACGCAGCCGCGCATTGCGCTCTGATTTCCACCTGCGCCACAAGCGCGCACCATAACACGCGCCACGTGATTTACCATCAACAACCACCACCACCACCATCAACAACCACCATCAACAACAACCACCACCAGCATCAGCATCCACAACATCGCATCATCACGATTGTCACCAACGTCATCATCATCAACACCGGCCGGGAAGCGTCATCATCACCATCATAAACATCACTGTCATATCAACATGACAATCACATCACTACCGTCGTCGTAATAACATCATTAACATAACCGCCATCACCATCACTTTCACCATCATCACGACGACCATCAATGACTCAGCCAACAAGAGCTGCTGCTGTTAGTGATGGATGATGATGTTGGTGGTGCGTGACGGACATCACTACCATCACCACCACCCTCACCATCACCACCCTCACCATCACTAACACCCTCACTACCATCACCAACACTACCATCACCAACACCCTCACTACCATCACCAACACTACCATCACCAACACCCTCACTACCATCACCAACACTACCATCATCACCACCCTCACTACCATCACCAACACTACCATCATCACCACCCTCACTACCATCACTACCATCACCATCACCACCATCACCCTCACTACCATCACCAACACCCTCACCCTCACTACCATCACCAACACCCTCACTACCATCACCATCACTACCATCACCAACACCCTCACTACCATCACCATCACTACCATCACCAACACCCTCACTACCATCACCATCACTACCATCACCAACACCCTCACTACCATCACCATCACTACCATCACCAACACCCTCACTACCATCACCATCACTACCATCACCAACACCCTCACTACCATCACCATCACTACCATCACCAACACCCTCACTACCATCACCATCACTACCATCACCAACACCCTCACTACCATCACCACCACCCTCACTACCATCACCATCACTACCATCACCATCACCACCATCACCCTCACTACCATCACCAACACCCTCACTACCATCACCAACACCCTCACTACCATCACCAACACCCTCACTACCATCACCACCACCCTCACTACCATCACCATCACCACTACCATCGCCATCCACATCTCAATCGTCATCATCACTCGCGCGTATCCGTGTTTACATTCGAGCGATGCGCACTTCCCAATGTTCAAACGAAATTGTTTGAACCAACATTATGTACAAGCGTCGTGTGCTCTTGGCTCATGTTGGTGTGTGTGTTGTTTGACGACGTTGTTGACGATGTTGTTGTTGACGATGTTGTTGTTGTTGACGAGGCTTGTCAACACAGCCGTGGTGGTGGTGGTGAGGAGGCGCGTGACGCCGCGTGCCGCGTGCGGCGACCGCCGCTCTATGACGCAGCACAACCCCCCAGAACGTGACGGCACAACCACAACCACCTCACAACAACCATAACAACCCCCTCACAACAACCACCACAACCCCCTCACAACAACCCCCTCACAACCACCACCACCTCACAACCACAACAACCATCACAACCACCACCACAACAACCACCACCACCACACAACCACAACAACCACAATCACCACCACAACCCCCTCACAACAACCAAAACCACCACCACAACACAACCACCACACAACCACAACCCCCTCACAACAACCACCACAACCACACAACAACCACAACCCCCTCACAACCACAACAACCATCACCACAACAACCACCACAACTCCCTCACAACAACCACAACCACCGCCACCACCACCACAACCACCACCACAACCACAGCGAGACTTCACGCGGCCCCAGACACATCAACAACACGCGCTCGCACACCGCTTACACCCCCCATGTTGTGATGGTTTAGTTTTTTTTAAAAAAATGCACCAAAGTGTTAAGGAAGTAAATAAACAGAAGCGCCTCCTTACCTCGTGCGAGAGTTCACGTCTCGGCAAAAGTGCGCCACCACCACCACCCCACCAACACCACACCGCCTCCTCCTCCTCTCTCCAACTGCGACACAGTCGCCTCCAGCCAGGGGGGCAGGGGGAGACGACCCAGCTACCCCCCCCCCCCCATGTAACACCCCTTAACGCGTGACACAAGTGGGGAAGTATGGCCCGCTGAAGACGCGAAACGCGATCGAGGTCGCGACTGAGCGCGCTAAGTCACGCGCAGTCGCTTTTATAGCGCCAGGCTCGTCGGGACTGCACCACGTGACCCGCCCCCACCACCCCCCCCACCAACTCCCCCCCCCCACCACCCCCCCACCAACTCCACCCCCACCAACTCCACCCCCACCACCAACTCCACCCCCCCACCAACTCCACCCCCCCACCAACTCCCCCCACCACCACCACCCCACCAACTCCACCCCCCACCACCCCCCCACCAACTCCACCCCCACCAACTCCACCCCCACCAACTCCACCCCACCAACTCCCCACCTCCACCCCCCCCACCAACTCCACCCCCACCAACTCCACCCCCCACCACCCCCCCCACCAACTCCACCCCCACCAACTCCCCCCCCCCACCTCCACCCCCCCCACCACCTCCCCCTCCTCTCCACATCAACTCCCTCCCCACTTTCCCCCCTCCCATCACTACCAAACACGACTACGACTGCACCCCCCCTCCTCTTCCCTCCACCCTCTCTTTTCTCCCCCCCAGCCCCCCCTCTCCCCCCCCCAGCCCCCCCCCCCCCCCCTCTGCCCCCTCTTTCCTCCTCCCCACCGCCTCTCTTCTCCCCCCCCACAACACCCCCCCCCCACAACACCCCCCACAACACCCCCCTCTCTCTCCTCATTCCCCCCACTCCATCCCGACGTGCCCCCCACCCCCACCATCACCACGGTACCACCTTCACCCGCAAACCACCACCACCTCACCTCACCCATTGTTGTGTTGTTTCTATAAACACAGCAGCACTGGCGATGCCGTGCGAGTGAATGACGATGCCGCTGCAGCTGCTGATGACGATGGTGTGCTGATGACGATGGTGTGCTGATGATGGTTTTGATGATGACATTGGTGAAGATGATGCTGCTAACTGCTGCTGCTGCTGGACGATCAACCAAGTAATCCTTTATTGAACCAGGAGATGATGATGATGGTGGTGGTGATGGTGGTGGTGATGTTGTTGGTGATGGTGTTAAGCGGTGATGGTTTTGCCACTGTGCTCACCGACCGCCGCGCGACGGAGCTGTCCCGGAATCGTGTGACGCACTTTGTTATAGAAGCAGCAGCAGCAGCAGCGCACACACAAAGACAAATATCCCCCAGATAACCTCACACAGACTGTTGGGGCAAGTGCTGTTGAGCGCGGTGTGGTCAGCCACCACGCCTGGCCGCCTTTGTCTTCCCTGATGTTTCTGTTTTACACACCGCACACCATTTAGGGCTGAGTCCACCTAGAGGGGGGGGGTGCCTCATTAACATAACGCTGGCTGTGAGCAAGATTCGAACTGGGGCGCCGTCGGCTTCGTAGCGCAGTGCGCTAACCACCACGCCACCGCTCCCCACCACTGCATCACACACACACACATACGCACTTACATAATACGTGCACTCACATGTTCCGCTAATGTACACACACACACGCGCCAACTCACACCACACAAACACGCACGCACATCGCACGGACATATAAATCCCCGCACACACACACACGCACACACACAAAGATCCCCCGTATAGCCTTAGCAGAGAGTTGGAGGCAAGTGCTGTGAGCGAGCACTCGATGAAGACCGGCACAGCGCACGAGGTTTGGGGTGGATGGGCCAGCACTACGCCCGGCCGCCTTTGTCTCTCCCCAGTCGCGATGCTTACACACCGCAGCAGATACTCATTTGAGGCTGAGTCGACCTCAGGGAGGCCCAGGACCGGTGCAGATATTCGCCACCGTTATCGTTTGTCACCGGAAATCGAACTCCCGCTCACCGCGTTTGTAGCGCAGTGCGCTAACCGATGCGCCACCGCTCCCCCCCATACACACGCACTTACATAATGAACACGTGCTCGCGCGAATAATGTACACACAGCGCATTGCAATACACACGCCCCCCTAACACACACGCACGCGTACACAAAAACAAAGACATATCCTCCGTATTGCCTTAACAGAGGCAAGTATTGTTAGCGAGCACCTATGAACGGAACGGCAAACGAGGGGGGTGGGTGGCCAGAACCACGCCCGGCCGCCTTTGTCTACCCTAGTGCTGACGTTTACACACCGCACCAGGTACTCATTTAAGGCTGAGTCGACCTAGGGGAAGCCCAGGACCGGTTCAAATATTAATCGCCACTGGCGTCGGCGGCCGTGAGCGGGATTCCAATTCGGGTCGCCGGGCTCGCGGTGCAGCGCGCTGACCACCACGCAGCGCACACACCCTGTGCGTAGCACACACACACCATGTGTGTAGCACTCACACACACCCTGTGCGTAGCACACACACACCATGTGTGTAGCACACACACACACCCTGTGCGTAGCACACACACACACCCTGTGTGTAGCACACACACACACACCCTGTGCGTAGCACACACACACACAGGGTGTGTGTGTGTGCTACACACACACCCTGTGTGTAGCACTCACACACACCCTGTGTGTAGCACACACACACACCCTGTGCGTAGCACACACACACACCCTGTGTGCAGCACACACACACACCCTGTGTGTAGCACACACACACACACCCTGTGTGTAGCACACACACACACCCTGTGTGCAGCACACACACACACCCTGTGCGTAGCACACACACACACCATCTGTGTAGCACACACACACACCATCTGTGTAGCACACACACACACACACACCTGTGTGCAGCACACACACACCCTGTGTGCAGCACACACACACACCCTGTGCGTAGCACATACACACACCCTGTGTGTAGCACACACACACCCTGTGTAGCACACACACACACCATCTGTGTAGCACACACACACACACACCTGTGTGCAGCACACACACACCCTGTGTGCAGCACACACACACACACACCCTGTGCGTAGCACATACACACACCCTGTGTGTAGCACACACACACCCTGTGTGCAGCACACACACACACACACCCTGTGCGTAGCACACACACACACACCATGTGTGTAGCACACACACACACACACCCTGTGTGTAACACACACACACACCCTGTGTGCAGCACACACACACACACCCTGTGCGTAGCACACACACACACCCTGTGTGTAGCACACACACACACCCTGTGTGTAGCACACACACACACCCTGTGCGTAGCACACACACACACACACCCTGTGCGTAGCACACACACACACCCTGTGTGTAGCACACACACACACCCTGTGTGTAGCACACACACACACCCTGTGTGTAGCACACACACACACCATCTGTGTAGCACACACACACACACCCACGCCTGTGTGCAGCACACACACACCCTGTGTGCAGCACACACACACACACCCTGTGCGTAGCACATACACACACCCTGTGTGTAGCACACACACACCCTGTGTAGCACACACACACACCATCTGTGTAGCACACACACACACACACACACCTGTGTGCAGCACACACACACCCTGGGTGCAGCACACACACACACACACCCTGTGCGTAGCACATACACACACCCTGTGTGTAGCACACACACACCCTGTGTAGCACACACACACACCATCTGTGTAGCACACACACACACACACACCTGTGTGCAGCACACACACACCCTGTGTGCAGCACACACACACACACCCTGTGTAGCACACACACACACCCTGTGTGTAGCACACACACACACCCTGTGTGTAGCACACACACACACACACACCCTGTGTGTAGCACACACACACACACCCTGTGTGTAGCACACACACACACCATCTGTGTAGCACACACACACACACCCTGTGTGCAGCACACACACACCATGTGTGCAGCACACACACACACACACCCTGTGCGTAGCACACACATACACCCTGTGCGTAGCACACACACACACCATGTGTGTAGCACACACACACACACCCTGTGCGTAGCACACACACACACCCTGTGTGTAGCACACACACACACACCCTGTGTGTAGCACACACACACACCCTGTGTGTAGCACACACACACACCCTGTGTGTAGCACACACACACACACACCCTGTGTGCAGCACACACACCCTGTGTGTAGCACACACACACACACACCCTGTGTGCAGCACACACACACACCCTGTGTGTAGCACACACACACACACACACCCTGTGTGTAGCACACACACACACCCTGTGTGTAGCAGACACACATCCTGTGAGCAGCACACACACACACCCTGGGTGCAGCACACACACACACCCTGGGTGCAGCACACACACCCTGTGTGCAGCACACACACACACCCTGTGTGTAGCACACACAACGTACACAATTACCACGTATCGCAACACACACACCGTAGCACACATACACACCCCGCATCACACACACACCGCATCACACACAAACACACCGTAGCACACACACACACACCCCGCATCACACACACACCCCGCATCACACACACACACACCGCATCACACACACACCCCGCATCACACACGCACTTGCATAATAATCACGTGCGCGCAGAGCGTCCGCGCGCGGTGCTACGCACTCGCACGTAAAGACAAAGATCCCCCGCGTAGCCTTTTAAACACCGTTAGGGCAAGTGCTGTTAGCGAGCACCTATGAAGGCCGACACGGCGCACGAGGGGGTGGGTGGTCATCACCACGCCCGGCCGCCTTTGTCTCCCTAGTTTCGATGTTTACACGTCTTACCAGGCATTCAGTTGAGGTTGAGTCGACCTAGGGGATGCCGGGTTCGAAGCGCGCGGGTTCAACCGGAGTTCGATTCCAGTTCACGACCAATAACAGTGGAAAATATTCGAACCGGTCCTGGGCCTCCCCTAGGTCGACTCAGGCTC